TTAAAGGTATTGTCACAGGACGGAAGCTGTTCCAAGTAAAGCTGCCTTTTGCAATTGACTGAGGGTGATTTTGTCAATGCCGATGGATGGTCGTCAAGTGGGGCTCCAGATGTTTTGGGATTAAACCAAGCTGCCTATGACTATCGGGACTATCTTTGCTTTCTTTTGCCGCAGTCGTTCTACTTCTATTTGCAGGTCTTTGTGTTCTGTGATCTCCTCCAGTTCTTCCTCTTCTCTTCTGCAGTCTCCAGGCATTGCAACGTCCATTATGCAAACATTTTTGTCTTTCTTACCAACAATTGTTAGTCTGGGGTGTTGTGTGGCGGGCGCTTGTCTGCTTGAATGCTAAAGTCCCCGAGCACTTCGCTTCCTCCCTTTCTAGGACTTTGTCTGTTTCGGGGTCCCCCCAGTTCTCGCCTGCAGCCCAGCGGAATCGCCTGCAGGTCTTCCAGCGCACCACGATGCCGCCGTTGGAGGTCAGCCTGTGCGATCTTCCTGCAGCAGCGGACTAGGTGGGCCACTGTTCCTTCAGCTTCTTTGCAGAGGGGGCATTGGATGTCTGTTGCTGTCTTCTCAAGTCTGGCTTTGGATGCATTTGTCCTTAAGGCTTGGTCTTGTGCAGCCAGAATTAGCCCCTCTGTCCCTTTCTTCAGCTTTCCTGCTCTTAGCCATTGCCAGGTCTTGTTGTTATCTGCTCTGCCTGCTAGTTTTTTTGCGTACTAGCCATGTGATCCTTTGCCTTGCCATGTCTCTTTTTTATTCTTCATTTGGTCTTTCCTGTAGGTCAGTTTGGTCTCTTTGGTATTCAGTAAGCCTTCGTGGGATACTAGCCTCAGTGCATCTTCTTCGCTGCCCTTCAGATATTCTTCCAATGCCCTTTTTCCTTCTTCAACTGCCTGGTGTACTTTAATATTCCACACCCACCTATGCTCCTTGGTAAGTAGAGTCTGTCAACGTCACTGGATGAAGGGCACGAATCATTGTTGTTATTTTTCTGGTCTTCCTATCCAGGGCTTCTAGTTCTGCTTGTGT